CTTCTCCAGGAAGGACGGCAACAGAGAAACAACAGCTTTCACTCCAGAGCACACTGTCTAGTATTAACAAACATTGTCTAGGTTAAGAAAATCTTGAAACTTGTCCATTGTAAAGTATAACATTCAAATTAGTGAAGACTGTTTAATATCAAGTTTGCTGCATTTAAAATATTTTGAATCTGTAATGCTTCAGATACTGTTATTTCAAGCTTAACAGAGAGAGAGTGAAAAGATATTTTCAATCCCTCTGTGTTCATGCATACCTTTGTGTATAGGAGTGTGTGTGTGTGTGTGTGTGTGTGTGTGTGTGTGTGTGTGTGAGAAAGAGAGAAAGAAGAAATTTAAAACTATCTTATTTCTTTGTCCAAAAAATATTTATTGGGTGCTTGCTATATGCTGAACTCTGGGCTGGTTTTAAGATCAGCTATGGGACCCTAGGTGAGTCAGTCAACCTCAAACTTTATTTATAGCCCTATAAAAATATCTTTGTATGTCAGTAAGAGCTCTTCTACCTCCATAAACTAAACATTAGATTATTAATAAAAATATATGCCATAAAGCAGAATGTTTAAATGCAAAGAATGTCTTCCCTATTTATTTATTAAGAATTTGTATCTTTTTAGCTTAAAAGGTAATCTGTAATTTGTTTATATTACATACTGAATCAATGAGAACTCACATCTTTGAAGAGGATGACTAATAAGAGCACAATTTTGAGTCTGAGCACAGGTGGGGCCCTTATAATGCTTTCATAAAGGAAACACATCAGATATACAGACAACCAGCCTTATCTCATAAAATACTGGATTAACCAGCTTGAAAGACCTCTTACTAAGTAAGTCTAGGTGTGCTTCTGGCTGCAGTTGCCACCGTAAGTGATAGGACCATCCATCACTTGGAGAATGCTTTGGAACTTGAAAGGCAAGAGAAACCTCTTCAGTGGAACATTTCTTTTTACCTGCTTTTCTGTTCAACCTGATTAGGCCTTGGATATGCTTGTTTGAGAGCTTCTTTCATAACTTGTCCTCTTATCTTCTGAGTTGAACAATGAAAAACTGAACTATCAAACTTGTTCATAAAGTGAGATAACTGGGCTGAAAATTACATCGTGTTTTTCACATCATCATGTAATATTGATATATTTAATTACTCTCAGTCATAAGCCCTTTTATCAGCAGATAATTGACAGCATAAATCAGAGATGTAGGAGAAGTCAACTTACTTAATGTTGGCTTAACATCAAGCTTAGTGGTGAACTATGACAAGATTACTTGATTTTAGAGTGTGGCTGAGCACTGCAGTCCAGTGCCCACAAGGATATACATTCCTTCTACCCTGACATTCTGCAAACTGGCTGCCAGGGTCTCTCCTCTTTCGCTTACCTAGGCATGGGGATCTGTGGAGGGGACACTGACCACTAAGTAGTGAATCAGCATGGGGGTGTCAAGGCCGAACTCAGCTGAGGAAGTTGGTCTGTTGTCACGCATAACTGTATCACCTTTGTCAGTGGGCCCCTACTTTCAACCCCATCTTCCGATTTTCACCGGAGGGAAACCATGGGAACTTTGCCTATGTGAATATTCTTTCAACATGTTGAGAAAGGCAGCTATTGCAGTGGTTAAGGGCCTGGGCTCTGGGGTCCCACCTGGCTCTGCCTCCCACCTGCTTTGTAAACCTGGGTAAGTTTTATAACTTCCTCAGTTTCAGTTTCTTCTTCTTTGAAACATGGATAAGCATGACCTCTTTCTTAATGATAATCCTTGAAGACTGAATGAGATGTACATGTAAAGCATTTAGCTTTATTCTTAGTACCTATGAAGTGCTTCATAAATGATGGCTGTTATTGCACAAACTGTAAATAGCACTCAGCTATTTACTCTCTCCATTCAGATCCATTGCGATAGGCCAATTTCAGAAAACTTCTGAAACCCAGACCACTTCTAAAAGTTGGGGAGGTGGTGGCTTCCTCTGAACAACAGGAACTCACAAGCTAGAGCTTATCAGGACTTGATCCCTTAAACTAGTTTAAAAGTAAAATAATCCATTTAGGTCAAGGGCAGTTATGAGAGAGGAAAGAAAGTGACACACCTCCAGTGCCTACTCTATCCCAGGCATGACAGTCTCCGTGTCTGAATATTTTAACATCATAATGTAATCTAAGGTATGGGTATTATAATTTCTATTATATATGAATATGTATATTTATATTATATCATATAAATGCTATTACATATATGCAGAAATTGAGGATGAGAAAGGTAGCTTGCCCAGAATTATCTGAGTGGTATATAGCATAGGTGGTGTATGAACCAGGTCTGCAAAGCTCAGGTTTTTCCCAGTAGATCATGATGCCCTTTTTCTGCCATAATTCAGACTAAATTGATTTCAGCCCCCTCTAGTCTGAATGAAAGTTGCTTCTCTTTCCTAAAGTTTCTTCAGATCTCAGACCTATCATGAATAGCAGTTTAAAACAATCTAAACTCTTTGAATTAAGGCAAAGTTTAAATTGTCTGTGGTGTCACTGATGTGAGACCCAGAGTTTTCTCCTCAGAATCCAAACTTTTTGCCCCTTTTTGTTATTTAAATTATTGTCGGAAGTAACAGAGAAAGCTTTGGACTCCTGTGTGATTTAAGATTCACTCATGTTTCACTTTTCTATTTTAATTACTAAGGTCTTGAGAAACTATGTTATAAAGCAAGTATCATTACTCTGGAGCATTTTACTGGACTGTTAATTCATGCTGTATTTATGCAGCCTCCAAATGAGATATAAAGCTGATTCTCTCCAGCTTCAAAATGAATCATTCCAAGAGAGCTTGGTAGTGCAGTCTGTCAACAATCCCTTAAATAACTGTTCCAGTGTTTTCTAAAGGCTCTTTAGTGGTTGGTTCATCATGTGTTTAAGTTTCAGGAGATAATTTGTGAACCAGTTTTGTGGCTCTCCCTTTGAAATGAGTTACACCCAAGACATAATGTCATGTCATAATGTCAAATGCTCACTCAAACTCCATGAACTGTCTTCAAGTAATTGCTCAATGGGTTGCCTTGTTGCTAAGGGACTCCTAGAGGGTACCTGAATGGGTGAAAATGAATTCAATGATTTCTGCACATTGAAAAGAAGTAACATTTGTGAGATGTTCCTAGGGACACATTCAAATGCATTATGAAGCATTTTTACTTTTAAAATTCTAGATTAAGGGATGATATGCACTCCTTAGTACAAAGGTACCTAAAAAATGCACACACAGTCTCCCTAAAGGCATATTTGTAATTCTCAGTTTGCATCCTCTTTCATGAAAGTATTTTCCTTGAAGCCAAATGGCTGCAATCCATATGTAGTCAGCTACTAGCTGACCTCAGGGGTGCTCCATCTTGGAGGTGGAAACCTACCATTGACTGATTTCTCCTGGATAGATGTAACATCCAGACATGAATGAAAGTGCTTTAGTACAAAACCACAGTGGATTTGCAATGCGACAAGTGGACTGACAGGATTTAACTCCAAGGCAGATATAGATATCCCATCTTTCTATTCTTCTACCCTTTTCATGATGGAATCTTCTGCCACATTTTTCTTGAGAAAATCCTATTATCTTTCAACTGAATTACCTAAACCATGGTTTCAAAATCTCTTGTGAAAGGAGAAGGCAAAAACAAATGAATCAAATAATTACTTTAAATAAATAGGACCATTTTTTTCCTTCTTTTTTTGTGGATCATGGATGAAGGAATCACCCAACATTTCTCTGAGACTTATGCAAGTCACATACACCTTTCTTAAAACTGAAACCACTCAAAAAAAATTGTGACAACTAAGAGAAACTTGCAAATACACTGTCATCTGCCTGGACAATATGACAATGTCCCTTCCCCCAAGTTTCAAAGCAGGGACTATCCCTCAGCATAGATAGTCTCACAATCATCAAAAACAGTCTACTATCTGTAACTGAAAGTGCTAAACCTCCATATTTGGCTAAAAAGACAGCCAAGTAAGGACATTTATAATTCAGCAACAGTCTCATAATTCTCTATGCAATCCAGGCTCTAATTACAGAACATAGTTCTATGTCCAAAACCATCTGATTTCACTAAACCTATCCAATACATCCCTTTTCTACCTATGATTAATAAACCTCTTGCTTAAAAATGTCTTCCTAATGCAATGGACATAGTGCATGGAATCACTGCACCTGTCAATCTTTACAACCCTTCCATAAATTGTTCTTCCCTTATTAAATAAGGCGTTTTGGTAAGTTACATGTTCATTTTGAATACATCTGCATAGGAATTGCTTATCTGTAATAAATACTGCTCAGCACAGATTAAGTGTATATGTGCAATTCATGTAAAATCAAATGATGTCACTTATTTAAAAAATACACACACACACACACATATATAATTTCTGTTAATCATAAAAAAGGCCAATAGATTGATGCCCAAAGATGTGGACCCAATTTTAGAAGCAGATGTGAGCACCACAGTAATTATATAGGGGAACCGTATTTGTTTGTTTGTTTGTAATAAAGCAATCAATTATCCTGATACTGTATAAATATTCCCGGCACTCATACACCCCAGGCACGGTTATGTGCATTTGAATTCTTATCAAAAGCTCACAGAGTTCTAGATACGTACTAGCCGACCGGAGACCCATATCCCAAAATACCGGCATCATGGCCCCTCTGGGCCACAAACACTGTGCACAGGCCCCACAGGAGGGCCGGGGAACTAGCCCCACACTCACTCACACAGGTATCTCTCCCCTGCAGGCCACCTGGCCGCGACTCCGCTAGTGGAAATCACCCCTGGCTGGCAGGCACTCACAGGCACACTGCGGGGGCTCCCCAGAACCTGGGGGGGAGGGGAGAGTCGGGCATCTGGGGGCAGCGGCGCGCACCCTGGCCGCGTCTCCGCGCCTCCAACAGGGTCCAGCTCTTGAATTCGCTCCGGAGATGCCCGGAGGATCTGCATTACGCCAAGGCGCTGGGCCAACTCACCTCCACGAAATAAAAGCAGGGCAAGAGGGTCACGCTGTCCTTGATCACTTTCCCCTTTGGCCTCTCCTTCGCCGACATCCCTGCCGCCTGCCCAGGTCTGCGTCCACCCCGGGGCGAGGTGTGCACCGCGCTGCCGAGGCGAGCCGCCTCCTCCAGCCGCAAGCGCCCGGCGCCGCTGATGTCACATTCCCCGCGGGCGCCGCTGGAGCCAGCGCGTTGCATGCAGCGCCCCCGCCTCTCTCCTCCCCTCTGCAGCAACCCGGAGGCTGCCCGAGAGGGAAGGTCCTCTTCCTCCCTGTTCTGGCTCCCGCTGCCTGTTTTTCTCCAAGGAGAGGCGTCCAGCAACCTCCTCCAAGCTGTTGCTGCAATGGCTTCCCCTCCCGCTGCCCTCCCTCGGCTCTCCACCGCCCTTGCGAGGCTTGGTGGCTATCGGAGCTTGACGTCAAGAATCGGAAAAGAGGAAGCATTCCCTGTATTCTGCAGCAGACAGTCTGGGGAGCAGCACAGGCCCCCACGCCCCCACTGGGCAGCCTCCTGGGTCAGTCTAGGAATGCTAGCGTCAGGATTGCTGGATAGCAGAAGCCCAGCTCTTGAGCTCTGACCCACAAATGAAAACTGACCTCTGCGTGTGTGAAATTAAAACTAGGATCCCATACTGAAAAGTAGACCCTGGTGGGAACTGGCTGCTATCCAGGAATGGCAGTCCCTTCTGAAGATTCTCTGCGCAGGAGACCCTACAACACTGAATCACCTGCTGATAAACACTCAGTATTATGTGTCTGGGAATGGTGAGGGTTCCCTGCAACAAGGGAAGAAGAAGTGTGGGCATCCTCCTTGAACCCAAAGACCAGGGCGTTCTAACTTTATCGGCACACCTCCGGAGCAGCATCAGTATTGCACCCGGTCATTACCATGCAAGGAGGCACTTCTTTAGACCTTAACAATGTAAATTAAGTCCTTCACCTTGTTGGAGGTGTGCTGGGCTGGTCTCAAGTTTGATTAATTTGACAACCCACATACTGAGGAGTAAAGCACCCAGAAAAATATAAAATCACTGTATTAACCTGACTACCCCAACAGTGGCCAAATTAAAGGGTCATTCTTCCTGGATCCACTTTTCCTCTCTAAAAAAGGCAGTACTCCTGTCTGGGCTCTATCAATATTAATAAAGGTAACCCACTTCCCTGACCACATGCCCCTGGTCATTTTCAATATCACCACATTCTCTGTTTCAAGCGTCTGACAACTAAGTCCCACCCCACTTTCCAGCTCACTTCTTCAGTTCCTAGTCTGTCTTAGCTTTGGCTGCTGTAACAAACACTGTGGCCTGGGGGGCTTAAACAACAAACATGTGTTTCTCACCATTCTGGAGACTGGAAGTCTGAAATCGGGGCGCTGGCACGGTCAGGTTTGTGAGGATTCCCTTCTCGGCTATATCCTCACATGAAAGAAAAAGAGAGAAACAGCTCCTTTCTGGATGTTTTATGAGGGGACTAATCCCATCAGGAGGGACCCACCCTCATATAAATCTCATTACCTCTCAAAGATACCATCTCCAAATGCCTTCACATTGGGAGGTAACTTTTCAACCGATGAATTTTGAAGGGGACACAAATATTCAGTCTATCGCATACTCTAGGAGACCTTTGACAACCTGAGGACAATCTGATCCACCAATGTCCACATTTCATGGCCACTACCACCTCATGCCCTCAGTTTCTTCCACCAGGTTGGGTTCCAAAGTCCAGTGGTACCATCCATTCCTCATTCCTCCTCCCTGTTTGCCACCCCCAGCCAGCAAAATCCCAGCCCCACTGAAAGGCAGTTCTTTACCCTTGCCAGACCAAATGAAGCTGGATTGAGAAAAACACACAGCATGTGGTCTTGCCTCACATTAGACTCATGATCCCCACAAACTTCAAATGGGTCCCACTATGCAAAATCCTGGGATTTTTCCATAGTCTGCTCACTTTCTCACTCTCTGAGGACCAACTCACACTTCCTCTTCTGTCTTTAAATCTTGTCATTCTCAGCTAACATCTCCAACTCTTATTTTCCTTAGAAAATGGAGCTAACCTGATAAGAGCTATGTCATCCTGCAAAGCTGATGATTTGCTCCCCATCCCTACCCTCCAGAGCTATACCATTTCTTTCCTAGACTGGCACAATAGCCTCCTAACGGTTCTACCAACTTTCACTCTTGCTATCCCTGCAACTTACAAACCATTCCCTATACAGCAGCCAGAATGGTCTTTTGTAAAGTCAATTCAATTGTGCCATTCCTCTGCCACAGCCCCTGAGAGCTCTCCACCATGTTCAGGAGAAAATCCACACTCCCCACTTCTTCCTCAAACCCCATCCTGATTTGTGGTCCTCATTCATATTGCTCTGAGCCTTTCTTGTCTGGCAATCCCAACCTAGTTTTTCACTGCCTCAGGGACTTTGCACTTCCTGTTCCCTTGCCCAGGAAAGCTGTTCAGTTCCACCAACATTGCATGGTTTAACATTTCACTTAATTCATACTTCTGCTCAAATTTGAACTGCTTAGGGAAGGTTTCTTTGACCAGCCACTTCTAAGTGGCATTCATCACCCCAGGTCTTCATTACCTTTTATTCTTTTACTTTATTTTGTTTTTTTTTATAGAATTTATCACTATCTCTTAGTTTATCAAGTATTTATTGTTCAATTTTTCATTGCCTTTCTCTTCCTCTAGAATGTGGACACTGCATGTTTTTATCATTTTATGTCTAGTAATTGGAAATATGCCTGGCAAGTAGTAGGTTTGTTCAGTAAGTATTTGCTGAAGAAATGAATGAATCAATTAAATTAAATGATACATATAAAATCATATAACATAGTTTCTTCCACACTCTAAATGTTCAATAATTGTTAGTTGATTCTGTGTATTAATTATCATGTTAGTAACCATACTTCTCATTACTATCAAAGTAACTGTATGTGTGGCTTTTATTTTTTCAGCTTTTGTAGTATCTCCACAGTTTACAATTCTTGGTAGAGGTAAAAAATAAGTTAGCAAGTTTCTGAATTTATTATCCTGGAAACTCAGCATTTCTCCTAGAGGACATTCCTGAACTAAAAAATAGGCCCTATCCTACCTTCACCATGAATTTTCACATTTAGGCCAAGGACAGAACTTGCATGCTGAATGTTTCGTCAAGTATGCTCCTTGCAGGTCCTCATAATAATAGTGGCACTGAAAACAATTTAATGTGCCCCATAGGACTTGAATATTTTCAGCGGAAATCCTGTTCCAGTGCATTCACATGAAAAATGGAACCCACTGGAAAAGCCGTACTCTGACATTTCACAAGACAGAGCACTTCACAGAACAAATAAACTGGAATAACCATGACTGAAAATGCATTTGACATCATCATTAAAACTGTCAGACTCCTGACAGAAGCAAGGAATAGTTTTCCTATGTATTGGTTTTGGGTGCCCACAGCCAAACAGAGACTTTTCTCAGCTTCTTGGCAACTGCTCATCCTCAGGATATTTGTCCAGCGTTTATCTTTAAGGTCATAAATTAGGACATTTAATTTAGTTATGTATTTTCCAGAAGTCAGCCCACTCTGCAGTATTATGAGGAGAAAATGTAAAATTTTATTTCATTTTTCTAAAAGGGAGTTTAAAAGAACTGGATATACAGAGGAAAAGGGACAGAAATGAGGGAAGTACTGAAAGATGGGAAAGGGACTCTCTAGTTCTGGCCTCATCATTGACTAATTATATGTCTGTGGAGAAGCTTTTTCCTGAAGGACTGGGTTTCTTCATCTAAAAATGGTGTTAGAATGTTAAAGTGGACATCTATTGCTTCTGTTTGCCCAAGATCCACTCTTTTGACAGTTTCTTAAATTTTCTTGATGAACTGTCCCACTCCTGCAATCAAAGCAGGGCCTGTTACAAAGGTGTTCAGACCTCTCCAGGCCAAGTGGGGGGTAGGGAGCCCAATAACAGCAACTGGACTCTATTTCCAGCACTTTGAATCTGAGGTGTTAGTTTTTTGGTGTTGAGTCACTGCAGAAGCAGAGGGAACAGCAGTTAATGTTGGCCTTTCAGTTTTCAGAACAGCCCCATCTCTTTCCTTTCAGAAGACCTACTTTTTTCCTTCCTTTCGTTTCTTTGCACAGCCCCATATTCTTTCAAATACATTCTTCTCTCTGCCTGTTTGTCTCCGTCTTTGTCTCTATCTCTGTCTCTGCTTCTTTCTGTCTGTGTCTCTCGCCATCTCCCCCTCTATCTGTTAACTTAGCCAGAGACCATGTCCATGGCTACAACCATAAACCCTTAAATGATACAGAGACAAATGATCATAAGACACTCATTTGTTAGAGGGTTATCTTAAGACTTAAAAAAAAAACCACATGCATACACACACACACAAAAAAAAATCTAACACCTAACAGTATTCTCTGGCAGGAGATACTTTGTAATTGCTCACCATGGTCCCCTGGGCATGGTAGAAGATGATTTACATAATTCTAGTGAGCCCTGTTCTACAGGAACACGTCTTTGCTCTGGGAGAAATGGCAATCCCAAGAAATCCCATAGCAAGGACACAAAAAACACACCAAGAAGTTGCATGCAGAGTTTTGCTGTGGGTTTGCACCAGCATACTAATGTACTGAGAGTGGGTTACAACTGCCCCACAAAATACTGATCTCTTCAGGGGCATGGCAGGGTCTATGCAAGAACTTCAGGGCAGGTTGCTTCTGGTTGCAAGCATCATGATTGGGTAGAACATCATCTGACAGCATGTCCAGACGGCTGTATACCAGAGGGACAGAAGAGCAGCATCAGGACTTGCTGCTCCACCCCAGCACACTGAACATAGCCAAGAATTGACCCCACCACTTGGAAATCATCAGGACATACCACCTGGATGGAGCGTCAGCTGCAAAGCCTGTTACTGCCCCAGGAGTCGATTTTGTGGGGACAGGGCTGAGAAGGAGGGTCCAGCAGTCCCTTTGGGTATAGCTAAACACAGTGGTTAATAGCTCTGTCTTCTATCTGTTAACTTTACCCATGGGCGACCAATGTGTCTTTTATGTGATGTCCTGACTAGGTGCATAGAAATTGGCCCAACATACATGCACATTCTGCAAATAAGAGCATCATTTTTATGTTTTCAAATATTTAATTGGATTTTGAAATACCCAAGTTATTGCAAGAAATTTAAACATTACTTTTGTCAATGTAAACAGAGCCTTTGGATTTTTTTCTATATAATTTCAAGGGTTATAATATTTTCAGTTATTGAAAAACAATGATTGTATATTTTTATCCACTACTTCTGCAAATTTCTCTTCAATGGTGACTGTCAAGAAATTAGAGAGCTCAAAATAAAAAGTTTTGATTAGAAAATGTATGTGGCCATTCCCTGTACAAAATCATATTCATGGAAGTAAGCTCTAGTGTCTCATTATAACATTGGATAGATTTAATTTGGAAGTTTTATATTTAGTGTATTCCCCTAAAATTAGATTTGTCTTCATGCTTAAGTATTATAAAAATTTAATTAATTTTTCC